TAGTGAGTGTTCCGTTGCTAATGAAGAACGAGCTTCCTATCATATTAAAACCTGTCTACCCACATAGCTTAAGGTTCAATATTCCCCTGTACCTGTATCGAAATGATAGTTTGTGTTCCGTTGCTAATGAAGAACGAGCTTCCTATCATATTAAAACCTGTCTTCCCACATAAATGCTTAAGGTTCAATATTCCCACCTGTATCGAAATGATAGTGAGTGTTCCCTTGCTAATGAAGAACGAGCTTCCTATCATATTAAAACCTGTCTACCCACATAGCTTAAGGTTCAATATTCCCACCTGTATCCAAATGATAGTTTGTGTTCCGTTGCTAAAGAAGAACGAGCTTCCTATCATATTAAAACATGTCTTCCCACATAGCTTAAGGTTCAATGTTCCCACCTGTATCGAAATGATAGTGACAGTTTCGATGATCATGAACAACGAGCCTCTGATACCACCGCATGTCTTCATGCGTGCGTTAATGTTCACTATCCCTACCTACATCGAAATGTCCGATATATTGGTCAATCACTGGACCATGTTGGTGGCTATCTCTGTTTCAAGAGGTTCTCCTCTATATCTTATGACTCATAAAATATGTGGCAGACCGCGAATATCAAGAACATTTTACCCCCAATATTTCCTTTCCAGCTTCCCTTATTTGAATCTATTAGCTCGAATGCATCTTCAGGAGAAATATTAATTACCAACCTCACAAAACCAATACCTCACAATACCAATCACTCATCTACTTCTAACACTTGATTCAAGTATTTGGTATCTTTCGAGGCTACCCACATATGCCAAAGAGAAAGCATTTGTATTTATTAATAAAAATACCTGTGAAAATTTCACGATTTTCTTATTTCAATTTTCTGCTGAAAGAAATACGATAACTAAGTTTTAAAATGAATTTTAAAAAATGAAAAACATGTTTCTCGAAGCCCTCATTTTAGTATAAATTTCAAACTAATAGATTAAATTAAATAATTCCAATAAGCAAAATACTTTGTTATATTTCAAAACGAATTTAAATTGATTGGAATGAGTTTTTAAATCATTAAAAATGGCTGATTTTAGACTTGTTTCTAAATCTCACAGCAAAATATAATTCTCTTCATTAAAAATATCTCAAAAATAAAATATACATTACTGAATCTTCTAAGGAAGATTGGCTGAATTTTTAATTAATCTGATTTGAAACTAATAATACTTACTTTTAGTATAAAATATAACAAAAAAACATTTTAACCTAGTGGTGGGTCTTTTAATGTTATTTTGACAACTATCTTGATAAACGTATGTTTGGAAATTTTGTCTAAGGTGAAATTTCTGTACAAATTAGATGACGAATATTACGTGAGCGTCCTTTTGATATAATTTTAACTACCCAGTAAACTAAAAATATAGGAAAATATTGTAATTTAATGCTTTATTGAATGTTAGGTATTTTGGCAATAAATCTACTATAGTTACTGCCCTTTTCTCTTCTTTTCTATTCATATGAATCTTATTATAAAACGCAGATTGTTTGTGTGTGTGTGTGTGTAACGTTTATATATTGGATCGGATTTCCTACATTTTTCATCCGATTTCAACAAAACTTCACAGGACTACATAAAATTACCTTGTGATCGTTCTAACAGCGCCAAAAATGGGAAAAATATAATTGTTTTTGCACAAAATCAATTTGAAAACACGATTAAGAGACATCGTGTAAATGGAAGGGGGACAACTCACATCGGGTTGTTTGTGTGTGTGGGTTCCTTTAAATATGGGATCGGATTTCCTATATTTTTCAGCCGATAAAACAAAAATTCACTTTTTTTTTTGGCAGGTAGTCTTTCTTATTCTCTTGCACACTTTTTTCTTTATTTTTAATATTCAGAATGCTTTAAAAATTCCATTTACAAGACAATTATTTATAATAAAATTCTATTCAATCGGAAGACTCATAACGATTGAAAACAATGTTTTTGTTTGAGTTTTGGTTTGACCAATTCGTAAAAAAAAAAACCCAAAAAACCCAAAAAACTAATTAAGACATGCGTGTCCGTCAACCTTAAACAATAATCTAACAATCTCTACTGATTGTACGAATACAAACATCGGATAAATTCTTTATCTTTAGGGAAAGATAATGAAATCTAAACATACACAAGTCCTCCTAACTAAAAATAAGAACCGGAACGGGAAACTAGTTTAAATACACATGGTGTCCAATTTTTTTACTGTATTCAATAAGTAAAAATCATAAATTGTAAAAGATTATTATTACAGAAAGGCTATTAAATGAATAAGATTTGTTAGATCATAATTAATAAACCCAAATAAAGTTAATATTTTTTGTATTAGAAACAACGAGTGGAAAATATATTCAAATCAGAATTCTAATTATGAATCACCACAAGCAAAATATGCAATTTTTTTTACTGTATTCAATAAGTAAAAATCATAAATTGTAAAACTAAAAGATTACAGAAAGGCTACCTACATTTTTCAACCGATTTCAACAAAACTTCACTTCTTTTTTTTTGGCATGTAGTGCTTCTTATTGTCTTGCACACTTTTTCCTTTATTTTTACATTCAGAATGCTTTAAAAATTCCATTTACAAGACAATTGTTTATAATAAAATTGTATTCAATCGGGAGACTCATAACGATTGTAAACAATGTTTTTGCTTGAGTTTGGGTTTGACCAATTCGTAAAAAAAAACTAATTAAGACATGCGTGTCCGTCAACCTTAAACAATAATCTTTGTCAATTTTATTTTTCAGTCTTTATGATGGTGGGTACTTGATCTATCTCTTACTGTTATATCCCCGGGCAACGCCGGACTCTACTGCTAGTCAATCATATCTGCAATCATTCTCATCTTTTCTATCCATATAGAACAATCATGTCAAATCAAGCAACATGAAGTACCATTTCAGACAACAATTATTTTGGAGTTTTTGAGATTTAATTTGTCATTGTGCTACCAGTGATGTAAAAGAGGATACATTTATAAAGCAATCGTTAAGTTTGAAGAAAATTAGTTGAAAGATCAACGAAAAATAAGGAAAAATAACCCAATAAAAATCGCCATTGTTCGCTATTTACGCGGGTTTTCACTATATGGGTGGACTCAATTATCAAGTTAAATGATTGTTAAACAATCAACTTATTGTTGGCTACAACTGATTGAAGCTTGTATTAGATTGTTTGAAAATTGAGGGAATTATTAATTTAAAATTTCTGTTGAAATCGATTTGTGTTGAAATCAATTTTTCGTTTTTCTTGGTTTTTCGCTAAAAACTGTTGCGTAGAAATGAAAATGAGGTATCGCTGAGCTCATCATGATGTAAATAACCTACATAATGTGTTGGAATGAAATCGGAGGAAAAAAGTTGAATTTATCGATTTTTGTTCGGCTTTATCGATTATTGATTTTTTTAAATTATCGATTTTTTACGCTAAGAACCTATCTCTCACATTGTACATTGGATGTGCCAATTTTGTTCAAAATCGGTTGGATGGATCTTAAGTGAAAAGGTATCACACAGACAGCCATCCTTTGTTTTATATATATATATATATATATATATATATATATATATATTTCAACACCTGAAGAAAATAGAAAATGTTCCTGAATGTCACTTTATTTAACACTGCGAGACAATGGCAACAGAAGAAAAGCATCCTTAAATAATCACCAGGAAGAAATATTTCCGGTCAGGAGAAATTTTCAAAGCATTTCAGCAAATATACATCGCTTCCTTTCAGTTATTTCATTAGACTGAAAAATCACATGCAAGTAGCTCTCAGTTCTTCATCTACAAAATGCAGTAAGTGGAAAATTTATTCAGAAAAAAAAAACAAGAACAAAATGAGCCTCTGGAAAAATTGGCTGTTGCACAATTTATGATAAAGATCTTTCGCAAGATTAGGTTTTTGTGAAGACACAAAAGCTTCGATATAATAAAAACTTTTTTCTGTCAAAATCATTGCAAATAATTAGAATCTCGCAGACAGAATCTAAATGTGAAAGAAAAAGTCTACAAAATCAATTTCTACCACTTTCAATTCTCAACGTGAAAGGTTAAGATATCTGTAGTTCTTGAAAAACAACGATAAACTGATAAAAATAATGTAGATACTTCAATAAAATATATCTTGATACCTTTAATAAGATACCGTGATAAAATAAAACAACAAAACATTCAAGTTTTATGAGAATTGCTGAGATTTTGAAAATGAATATGGATGCTACATGTAAAAAGCAATATTTTATATTAAGTTTTCAAATGCCAAATGAAAATAGGCATTTTATGGTATAATTCTTTTCATAATTACATTTTTATTGATTAATTTGTTTTCTACGGCTTATCAACCTTTTGTAGGTTACTTAAAGCCAAGAAATATATATTTTGTGGTGAGTGGCAGTCCCTGCTGACTGCAATGTGTCTTTGAAGATATTCAAAAAGCTGTAAAAATGCAAGGACCTTGAAATGGAAATCTCGAAAATGTAGCATATGGGAACATCAACAATCCCTGTTGTAGGTGGAGCCCTAGGACTGGTTGGAAAAGATTGCAGTAGACTAATTGAAGGGATTCCTGGAAGTCCATGCCTCAAGAAGATACAAAAAATTGTTCTGACAAGTACAGCCCACACCTTACGAAGGGCTTTATCTATGTAATTTCTTTTTTTTTTTTCTTTTTTTTTTTTGTCAGTGGAAAGTGTCATACTGTCATTTCTAACCTTAGGTCCCTGTGCGGGACCCGGAAAGAAATGTGTAAACGCCAGAAATCAAAGAAAATAATAATAATAATAATAATAATTTAGTCTTTCTAATTATCACATAGCTTGGGAGAGAAAAGCTAGATTTGGAAGTCGGCTCTCCGATTAACAATTCCGAGCCATTATCTTTTTCACCAACGGCACATCCAAGCTTATAGCACTTGGTATCCCCAAGCGGTCAGTCATATACTGACTGACCAGGCTCGATATTGCTTAACTTCGGTGATCGTACTGAACCATGTATTTCAACGTGTGTGTGTGCGTGTATGTGAGCGCGTGTAGAAAGAAAGAAAGAAAGAAAGAAAGAAAGAAAGAAAGAAAGAAGAGGTTGAGATAGATAGATAGATAGATAGATAGATAGATAGATAGATATGGACAGAGTGAAAAAGAAAGAAAGAAAGAAAGAAGAGTTTGAAATGAATAGAAAGAAAGAAAGGAAGAAAGAAGAGGTTGAGAAAGAAAGAAAGAAAGAAAGAAAGAAAGAAAGAAAGAAAGAAAGAAAGAAAGAAAGAAGAGGTTGAGATAGATAGATAGAACAGAATGAGATAGATAGATAGATAGATAGATAGATAGATAGATATGAACAGAATGAAAGAAAGAAAGACAACTCCAAAGCGTTTGATAGGGTTTGGCATGCCGGTCTTCTTCGCAAGCTTCAGGGTTATGGAATTTCAGGTCGATTGTTTGACTTAATACAATCATTCCTGTCAAACCGTGTATTGAAGGTCGTTCTCAACGGATTTTCCTCCAGCTCCTATCCCACGCACGCAAGTGTTCCCAAGGCTCCATCCTAGGCCCTACTCTCTTCCTTATCTTCATCAACGATCTTCCTGACGTCATAGATTCACAAGTCGGCATCTACGCGGATGACACTACAATTTTTCTGGCCGTTCGTCTCGAAAAGGACCTCCAATCGGTTGTGAACTGGGGCAGGAATTGGCTGGCTAACTTTAACACCTCAAAAATAAAACTGCTCTCTATTACTCACCACAGAGAACCATTCCTGACCCCACCACCATTAGATGCTCAACTTCTCGAGAGCTCCTGTTTGCGACTACTTGGCCTCACATTGACTGATGACCTGAGATGGAACAAATACATTGAGTCAATAGCTTTCATGGTAACTGCTCCGATGAGCTGCTTTCGCTGGTATCCCAGACTTCATGAATTCAAGCGTCCTACGAGGCTGGCTTCCCACTCTCACCCTTTCACTGTCGAAACTGTTAAATGTAGCCGTCTCTTCCACTCCAATAGCTTCATATCTCGTACCTTTCACCTGTGGAACTCCCTCCCCATTTCTTGTTTTCCTGATAGCTATAATCTCCAACTATTCAAATGTAATGTCAATTAATGTTTCCAGATGCCATGATCTATCCCCTATCCTTCTCTTCATCCTTTCCTCTATCACTCCTCTTTGCTCTCGCTCCAACTCTCTGTAACTCCTTGCGTGCTAGTGGCTTCCTGCCTTGCTTGGGGTGAAATGCTTAAAAAATTAGGAATAAAAGATTAAATCCTAAACTTATATTTTGAAGAAAGTTTATCTAAAATATTAATTGAATATCCATTATGTTTGTATTTTTTTCTCCTTTTACTTTAGTCCCTTGCTACAGTTGAAGGCAAGGACATGCAAGGACAGGATCCAAGGAGACAGAAGATGACGATTGATGTTGCATTTAAATTTTTGAAGATCAGAGTTGACTGGAAAGCAAGAAACTGGAAGAGAGTTCCATAAGTGAGAAGTGCGATAAAAGAAACTATTAGCATAGAACTTACGGTTGCATGTAGTCATTTCAACTCTAAAGTGATAACTTTCAGTCAATCTAGCATTGCGTTAAATTCAAAAAGTCGAGATTTCAAAGAGTTCATCAGAACAATTACCTGAAAATATTAATAGAAAAAGCGCAAGGAAGCTACTTTACTGTGGTGGGAAAGTAACCGAAGCCGAGATGCTAGGTCATAACTGATAACATTGCAGATTCTTCTTTAGATTTTGTCAAGAATATCTAGATACATAGCAGATCACGGGATAAGATGTGACATCTATATTCAGCGGATAAGAAATTGAGCATACATACAGTGAAAGAAGACATTAAAGTATCTAGCTTGTTTTTTCGGAAGACTGTTTGTGAGTGGTGTTCCTTTGAAGTCTCCGTGATATGGTTTTCCATACCATATTATGTTTTCTATTATGTCCGATTCAACCGACTGGCTTCGGAGAAAAAGATTTGAAATGTAAAATACCGGGCGCTACTGTTTCTTTCTTTTTTTTAACTACTCGTTAATTGATTGTTTATTGCTAAAATGAGAATATGCGTGTGTAACCCTAAGAGTATATGACGTCAAAAATAATATGCATCTAATTGCCTTACTTTGAAACACCAGAGTTTAGTCTCCAAAACTCTAGCTAGTTCTGACACTGGCTGAAGTAGATAGATAGATAGATAGATAGATAGATAGATAGATAGATAGATAGATATAAACATGCTGAGATAGTGTTGTAGAGTAGTTTTCACAGTGGAGGCTTGTATTTCAATAAGTCGTCCTAAATTAGGTTCGACGTACAAAACGTTAGGAACTTGAAATAAGAGTTAATTACGCAGCAATCTAGCTGTGATGGTTGGTAATTCAATGTCCGATATCGACTGACTCGCTCAACACCACAGAGCCCAACTGGCGACCGTTACTACTACTACTACTTATTATGTGTGGGAGAGTCTATTAATAATAGAATAGCTACGTCAGGTATAATAGATAGATAGATAGATAGATAGATAGATAGATAAAAAGGCTAGATATAAAAGATAGATAGATAGATAGATAGATAGATAGATAGATAGATAGATAGATAAAAACAGGCTGAGATAGATAGATAGATAGATAGATAGAGAGAGAGAGAGAGAGAGAGAGAGGGGGAACAGACTGAAATAGATAGATAGATAGATAGATAGATAGATAGATAGATAGATAGATATAAAAAGGCTGAGATAGATAGATAGATAGATAGATAGATAGATAGATAGATAGATAGATAGATATAAACAGGCTGAGATAGATAGATAGATAGAGAGAGAGAGAGAGAGAGAGAATGAGCAGTCTCAGTTAGATAGAAACAAACGGAGACAGATAGATTTTAAGCAGAATGTTTATTCCTCATTCAGTAACCCTTTCTAGCTTACAACATTTTGACCGAACTCGAGTAAACGTTCACCAGTACAACGTTTGGCGAACAAAGATTTCGTCAGAACTCACGTAAACTTTCACGATATGATATTGTACAAACGAAGATATCTGTAAAACTCACGTAAATATCCACCATGGCTATATTGGCGAAGTAAGATTCAGAAGTTACCAAAACAACAAAGAGTTTTGAATAAACTTGAAAACGAACCCAATCTGACTTTACAAAACCTAGCAGAAGATTGTCAGAGGTTTATAAATGTTCGACATGATGCCAAAGATAACGAAGTAATCAGTGTTTCGCACATTAAAAAAGTGCGTCAAGAAAATGAAGTGAAGAAGAAAAAAGAACATTACTCTTAATCCTTGTTATGCATGTGGAGAACCACAATTTTATAATGACTCTCCATAGCGAAATAAAGAATGACTCCATAGCGAAATAAAGAATGACTCTCCATAGCGAAATAAAGAATGACTCTCCATAGCGAAATAAAGAATGACTCTCCATAGCGAAATAAAGAATGACTCTCCATAGCGAAATAAAGAATGTTTTCGTTGCAAAAAATAAAAGAATATAAGAAAGCTCACTAGAAGGTAAAAGAAAAAAAAAAAAAAAGGAATAATTACATTAAAGTTACTAATATGTACGAATCTACCGGTCGGAATATGAGCAAAGTTGTGCAGGTAAAAAGTCCTTAACAAAATATTAAATTACAATTGGATAGCGGACTCGATTTAAGCATAATTAATGTATATACATGGGATAAAAATAGGGAAACCAACGTAAATCGTTACCAAGAAAATCTCTCGTAGTGTTACCGGACAGAAAATAAAATTCGAAGGGGAATTTATAACAAATATGACATTGAATGGAAAAATTAAGACTGTTTGTAATGAAAAATATAAATAACCTTTTTGGAATGCACTGGAGGGAGCAGTTTAAGTTACAATCCAATCAGTTTGTTTTGTCAAGAAGTTAAAGGTTTTACCAATTAAGGAGAAAGTTTAAAGAAAGAATTGAAAATTAAATTCCCAGAGGTATTTTCTGGTGGGTTAGGCAAGTGCAATAAAACGAAAGCTAAACTCAAGCTAAAGGAAAATGTACAACCGGTTTTGAAAAAGAAAAGGAATGTACCCTTTACATCATTAAAACAGATCAATGACGAGCTTGACAGATTCAAAAAAATGATGTTTTATCTAAAGTTGACTATAGCGATTGGGCTTCACCAACGGCATATATAAAGAAAATGTCTAAAGAGATACGTCTCTGCGCGGATTTCTCCACAGGCTTAAACGAAGCCCTCAAATGTTATCATTACCTACTATCGGGGTCAAAAGAGGTTTTTGTGCAACTTAGTGGGGGTCGAATATTTTCGAAAATCGACCTAAGCGATGCGTATCTGCGTATGTGCAAATTACTTACGATAAACACACATTGAGGAATGTATAAAGGCAATCGTTTGGCTTTCGAAATAAAGGTCGCCCCAGCTATTTTTCAGTAAGTAATGGATACGATGCTTAGTGGACATGACTGTGCAGTGGCTTATCAAAACGATATTTTGCTGATAAGTGGAAACCTAGAACACAAGAAAAATGTTTGCGCAGAAAATAAGGTCGGTCTTTGACAAGTTGATACTGAATAAGAAACAAGTCGGTAGAAGAATCTATTTTTTGTACCGTATGTTCGACTTGTTTCTTATTCAGTAACAACTTGTCAAAGACCGATCTAAATTTTACGAAGTGGGTGAAAAGGTTTTTTTTACCGAATGTATCAGATGGGGGAAAAGATATTTGGGAAGTTGGAAATATCATCAAAAGAATCGGTAGGATATATTTAGTCCAAGAAAATGGTGCATAAAACGCACTTGAATCAAACAAAATGTAGGCATATAGATGACGAGAACGATACTCCATGTTGGATGTTGAGCCTATAAAAGTTCTTTTTCACGCATTTGATGTGGCCATTCCTGGAAAAGTTCCTTAGACAAAAATCCAAAAAAGACAAAGTAAGAAGAAAAGAAAGAATACAGAGAGAATCGACATTAACCCGAAAAGGAAAAGATATTGACTCTGGGCAGAGTAAATCTAAAAAGGGGGAGTGTTATATACCTCACCTATGAACACTAATGTGTATGTCCCAGGCATCATAAATACACTGGTCACTATTGTAAGTGGTGGTTATATAGGCTGTCTAAGTAGATCACCATTAGCAGTAGTTTACCTACATCAAGCAGCTGGCGAGTATTGTATTTTGTTGATGTTATAAAGATTACCATTTCATTTTAAACCCCCGTTTTGGTTAGTCCACGTTCAGTAACCCTTTCTAGGTTACAATATATATATATATATATATATATATATATATATATATATATATATATATATTATATATATATATATATATATATGAGCGTTTATACGGGAAACGCAAATTCAGTCGCAAAAGTAAGCCCTTTGGAGATAGATAGATAGATAGATAGATAGATAGATAGATTATTAAGGCGAAATATTTAATTTCATTCATATTTATAAAGTTAATTTTGTAGTAATCTTCATTTCGTTTTCGCTGTGGTATCTTAATGAAAACTCTATCACGTAATAATGAGAATATGAACTTTTTAAAATATCAGTCTAATATGTTCTTTTGTAGCATTTTTAATTTAAATATAATAATAATGAATCTTCCATTATGATTTTCTCCGTTGGTCTTATATATTTCGTACAATAGTCTGAAATGTATTTTTCATGAAGTTTGATATAATATTTGAATAACGTAACTGCCTAATTTAATTAATATTGTTTTTGGTAATCATTTAAAACTGGATTAATTATAAATAAATGTACATACACTGATTAATTGTTATCAAACAATAATTCTCTTATTTCCTTGATAAAACGAAGAAATTAGAGACTGGTGAAAAGTTCTCAACCCAACTAAGAATCTTTAGAAAATCTGAAGTTTCCTCAATTGGTGAAATTTTTGAAAAGCAGATGGAGCCGACAACTTCTACATATACTATCGTATTAACATAAACGACATTTCTGGAAATAACTTAAATAAAAAAATATCTATTAAATATCGATTTTGAGATGAGTTCTTTTTCTAAATATTAAGATCAGAACCAGAGAGAAGTGCTAGAATTCAGATTTTATATTTCTTTACTGCATGTTAGTATGATCAGAAAATCCCTTATACCAGATTTTTATGTACTCTTCACACATAAAAAAAAACTTGCCATTAATACGATTGCATGGTTACCCATTGTCTTCCAAGGAACTTCTGCTAATCACTATTATATATTGTTGCCAAAGGTAGTATATAAAAAAAAATTTCAGGGACACAATAACTTTGAGACTGTTTTGAGACTTTTTAGAATATATGTTTCGTTTATCTTATGGTAATCTAATGTTGCATCGAGCACCGCATTGCAAACAAATGCACAACGATTATTTGATTACACAAGTGCATATATAATAAGATAGTAGTGTATATTTTTATAGTTATAATAAATATAATGTTATAGTATATTTTTAACTCTATATATTAATATTATTCCCTTTGGGAGAGAGCGCTATCGATACTATTCTTTGTAAGTTTGTCATGTTATATTTGTATTTCTATTTTTTTATTACTGTATATGCAGTATATACACAGTAGGTATTTACTCTGCCTCCCCACTAAGACTGGTTGTGACACAAGGTCTTTTTATAAGGTGGGCACACGCAGCCCTCGCAACCGTCGGTTGCGCTGGCCTCGGTACGTGCGCCGATCCTTCTCTCTGGTGCAATGAGAGGGCGCGGCCTCGGGTAGCTGTTACCCAGAGCTGGGCACCTCTCAGTATAATTTTCCTCAGTTGCGACTCTCTCCTTTGACACCGTCGCCCCTGAGTGCACTCTATCCAAAAACACTGACGCAACTGAATGATGATAAATTGATGTGTTACAAACCCCTCAAGAGAGGGGTTTTCACACATACAGTATATACACAGTATACTGTATATAATATATATATATATATATATATATATATATGTGTGTGTGTGTGTTTGTGTCTGTATACTGTATATATCTGCATATATGATTATACATATACAGTATGCTGTTTATATACAGTATATATTTATTTATGCCATAGCTACATGTTTATAGTATTTACATTATGATCATAACTACTGGTAGTCAGTAAAGTGTTTTTATAACTCAAAAATAATCCCTTCCCATATATGGAAAATCAGCTTTAATAAACCACCCCTCATCCCCTATTAATTCATTGATGTAAGGTATGTCTATACAGGAAAAAAAAACTCATCTACGTCCCCCGCCATTAATTGACTTTGGATGCAATGGACAAAATCTGCAGGCAAAATTTTTAAAAATCTGCAGTAAAGAAAAGAAAAATTCCAAATCGTCAGCGGTGTATTTCAAAATTTGCAGGCTTAGCAGAAAGAGTTGTATTAGTTCTCAAAGTGACAGCGGTGATGAGACATTCAATTGTAAACAAAGACAGGTGTACAGTATATAAAGTATGATACATTAGTGTGTACATGAGAAGGTAGCTGTGAGCTACATGTTGCTTTTGTTATTTTGATTAATATATTAATTGTTCAGCACTCATCATGTTATCGAAGCAGAAGGAAATGTAAAAGAGAACTGTAAAAAGATAAGTATTAGTTACAAATTAAAACTTCGGTTGCGAAAGCGTGTGAGGAGTATGGTGTATATATTCAGTACAGTATATGTTTATGCCATATATATATATATATATATATATATATATATATATATATATATATATATATATATATATATATATACATATATATATGTTTATAGTATTTACATTATAATCATAACTACTCGTAGTCACTATAGTGGTTTTATAACTCAGAAATAATCCCTTCCCATATACGGACAATCGTCCTTAACGGACCACCCTTACCCATTTAGTCTGTATTTGCAAAACCATACGTAAGAAAAGGGATATCTTTATGTACATTATTTACATTATTCGGACTATTGTCATCTTTGTCGCCATATTTATCACAACGTTTCGGCCGTGGGATCTGTGGGATCATGTTGAGATCATTGACAAGGAACACCATTGGAAAATTCGTAAACTTAAGGAATCAGCACATATGCTAGGCCAGAAAAATCTCCTGAGCCGACCAAGCATAGAAATAAATACAATATGGGAACCAGTAATAAGGAGTGCCAGAGAAAAGCAATGATAACAACATAGTTGCAATATGAGCTCTGGTAAAAATGGTTGCTGAAGACATTAGGTTTATAATACCCAGAAATTCATACCCAGATGTCCTCAAGGACACATGGCACAGTGGATAAAGGTTAGATCCAGTGACAGGACCCAAAGACTGTGAGTTCAATACCCGGTTAAGGCAGTGGAGAACTTTCAGAGGGAAATTAACAGGAGATAACTGATAACTGACATCCATCAAACATGGCACGTGGAACTAGAGCAGTCTACCCCGGTGAGCGAAGAAGGCCGGAGCGTACAACGGCCGAAACGTTTTGATAAATATGGCGACAATAGTCCAAATAATGTAAATAATATCTCATCTCAGAAATATAGACAGACTCGGATATCTTTATGTACACACATTCATTCACCACAATTTGGACCCTTTTTACGTAGTTTGTTTGTGTATTCATTCTGATATACTTTTCCTTTAAGAACTTTCAATGCGTTCAGTATCAATTAATATTACTACACTATCTCGCTTACTAAATATGCCCCTTCCACTATTGATAATATCGCAATAAGATCATCTTCCTACATAAGTTCAAGCAGTTGAACGTCTAAGAGAAATAGATGATTGTGCACGTATGAAAAAAAGTATTAAAGAATTGAGAACATATAGGGTTTTCTCTAAATCGGTAGGAATATTATAAAAGAGAGGGCGTAAGCAGATTAACGTCAACCAATATCAAGGTTCCATGGCAACATGAAAGACTGAAGGCGGAGTTTGAATAAAATATGGCCAAGGGAGATATTGAAAGATGAACGAGGAGAAAAGAAAAGAAAAAAAAAAAGAAAAGAAAAAAGAAAAGAAAAGAAAAGAAAAAATAGAAAAGAAAAAAGAAAAGAAAACAATGTAGAATAAAACTGAAACGAAGAATGGTGCCCACAGTATAATATACAAAGGATAATCGATGGGAAGAAGAAGAACAACAACAACAGCAGCAAAAACAACAACAGCAACAACATAGCGAAGACTGTTACATGCTACGAGGATGGTCAAAAGTCTCAATAATATAGAGGGAAAGAGATGAATCGAAAGCTATAAAGCGACAAATATTAGAAATGAAAGTAAATAATAAGACAGAACTTATACTAAAACTAAAAGGACATGAGTATCAATAAATAGATGACTAAGAAGGTTATACATTAATGCAAAAATAAAAAAGGAGAAAATGAAATGATTATGACAGAGAAACATAAAATCAACAACTGCAAAAAAATAACACGCATAACGAAACAATAACTTGTAAGAGAAAAAATAAAACGAAAGAGATAAGTAAAAAAAAAAAAATGGTTGTAATACATTTGGAGAGAAAATATACAAAGAAACGAGCCTTTTCCTTTCTTTTTTTAATCATTTCACACCAAGCAAGCCAGTAAAGCCACTCCACTAAGACACAAGGGAGTGTTAGAGAATTTGAGAAAAAATTTCTATTACGTAAAGAAAACAATAAAAAGAACAAGAATTAAAAGGACAGAAGGTAACGATTGACATTACATTTAATTTTTTCAAGGTTAAAGTTGGCTAAAAGCAAGAAACCGAAGAGAATTTCTTCAAGTAAGAAGTGCGATAGAAGAAACAGTTAGTATAGACCTTTTTATTAAAATACTAACAACAACAATAATAATAATGATGCTAATAAAAATAAACATTCAAAATAATGAAAGATTGCATTATAATAAAAAGGGAAATATTAATCATCACTATAATAATAATGATAATAATAATATAGTAATAATAGTGATAATCATCACTATAATAATATTGATAATCATATAATAATAATAATGATAATAATATAATAATAATAATGATAATCATCACTATAATAATAATGATAATAATATAATAATAATGATAATAATATAATAATAATGATAATCATCACTATAATAATAATGATAATCATCACTATAATAATAATGATAATAATATAATAATAATAATGATAATAATATAGTATGCCACAAACCGACAAATGGTCCGGACATTACCTTGAAGCCATTAAGTGACTATTCTTTTAGACTTTATCATTCATACTGACAGACATATAAAAGATAACAGAATAGACATAATGACTAAAGATTATAATCCTGGTTAAATCTAGCCGTTTAAACTGTATGATAATACCGCCAAGACCTTGCCGCCAATCTAGCTTTCCCTAGAGGAGAAATGATGCCTACTTATCACTCTATAACATTATAAAGTCCTAAACAAAAGATCAGAATTCATTACCAAATGCAGACACAAAGGTACATTCCTA